TAGAATGTTGATAAATATATCTTATAAAAGTATATTTTATGGTGTATCTAGTGATACCAATTTAGTGTCATAAATGTTGATGTTGTTCTTTATAAATTTAGTCAAACTTAAAATAATTTTACTTAAGATAACTTTGAAAGTTGATTTAGTTTGGGAGGGAGCGAGAACCTGTTTCCGTTATGGACAAGCCCTTGAGCTTTTGCAATACTAACGGGAAACAATTGTAAATAAAAGAACAAAAATGACTAACGGGAAACCACTGCAAAGCCCGAAGCAAAAAGCCCATTTACGAATCACCAGGTGGCAGACGTTATGCGGGGCCATCTGAAACGTCCACAGTCCACACCGCAGCTAAACCCAGTGGCGGCCCCGCACGTACAGCCTCCTCCTATTGGACCAGGCCGAGTCACTTTCCAAACACAAATCAATCCCCGCAACAGTTAGCCCAATCGTTCGGTTTCGCGTAGGCTCATTAGCACCAGACCGAGCTGCTGCCACAGCCCGCAGTAGCACACTACCACGGTCCACGGCCGGACCTACTACACCTTCCGTAGTTCCGTTGGACGCGTGTGGGTGGCGGCTCCTCCCAATTTCTCGGGCGCGCGACCAGTAAAACGTGGCCAGCTCATGTTTTTCTTTTTGTGATGAGAAAAACCTGGCCGGTTCATCTGCTCTGGCAGCTTCGTCCCGTCGTCCGGACTCTGGATCCCCGCTCTCGCAGTCACGTGGTCAGATCCTCAGCCGCAGAACCACCGCCAAGTCATCTGTACTTCTGTAGGGGTCCAGATCAGGTGGACGCCGACGACCCCTAGGGCGCGTTTGGTTCGTTGGTTCCGAACGAACATGCATCGAGAGTTGCAGAGTCGGAGCGTTTGGTTGGCCGGAGGAGCGTTGGAGCCTGGCTGGCCGCATGCAAGAAGTGCCGCCGGGCCTGGCTCGGGGGAAACGAGATTCGTTTCCGTTTCTCCTCAGCCTGGCTCGCGCGGGCTCCTGAGCGCGTGTCTTGTGGTTCAATCCAGAGAGAGCGAGTCTATCCAGGTGTGCACAAACAGCTAACCAAACAAACGCTGCATGTCGCCGGGCTCTGCTCAACCAGGCATCCAAACAAGCGGCACCTGTATCACCGTAGCCTGGCCGAAGCGGGCCTGCATGCGGCGTGCGCTCGCCAACAAACCAAACGCGCCACCGAATTTTGCCGTGCCGCAGCCTGCAGGGAACCCGGCCAGCCGGGGATAAGCCCGCCCGAGCGCGCTAGAGCGAGCGCGCATGCGTCCGCACGTCAAGGTTGCCGCGGACGCGGACGTCTTTCCGCTCGCTTTTTTGTGTGGCCCCTGTTTCCGGGCTCAGTTCCGTGCCGGAATCGAAGTGTGTACGGCAGCAGCAGGTGATGAAGATAGGCATGCCACTCATTGCCCGTGTCATATCCGGAGCAGCTCTCTCTTCTCTATAGAGCCAATCGCACGCGGCGCTGCCATGGGAGTTGGGAGGGGAGCACGTGCCCGTTCAGAATCCAGTCCACCACAGTCGTCTGTGCCTTTTCCAGGTCATGCCGCCGCGCACGGCACTGCTTCGCCTCGCTGCTGCTTCGACGCGCGCGTCCTCGGCTTCCGCGGCGCGGCGGCTGTACCCGTCCACAGACGGCGGAAGCGAGGAGCACGCGCCGCCACTCGGGAGGATGAGCTTCTCCCGCCGCCCCACAGGCCGGAGTACACCGATGAACGGCGGCTGCATCCTCGCCGTGGAGAGCATCGGTGAGCATGGATAGATAGTAAAAAGCTTTGCATTCGACTATTTGAGTACTTCTGCACACGGGAATACCCCGTTTTTTTTTCGAACACAAATGAATACCCGTGTTCCTTGTTTTTTATTTGTCTCGCCACTGCGATCATCTTTGTTTTCGCGTGCAAGAGCATCATCGATCATGCTCATTGTTCAATGGCGGGTCATGGCGGCCGCATTCTTCTTCTAATCAATCGCACTACGTCGCTACAGTGACCTGTGCATTGCAAAACGACACATGCGTATGGGCGCAAGCAAATCCAATCACTCTACCGTGACGGGTGGCCAGTTGCCACGGTAGCACAATTGATTTTTGCGGGCCCAATTAAGGACCTGTGGCCCCACCGCAACCGCTCCAATTTGTTACGTATGAATCTTGCCTCTAAAAGCTAGCCAGCCAGCGTGCTTTTCGAGACCGTTCGATCGGCGGTGCGGACGGTCCAGATCGAACGAGCCACGGTCATTTTTTTTAAAAAAAACCATAAACTTTAGTTGAATCAACACGCAGTGCATGCCTCCTCTCACTCGGGCTCGTCCATCTCACCGAAAGCGGCGACGCGGCGCCACCACCCACCGAGAATGGCGCAATTTCGGCGGCCATGGCGAGCCGAAGCGCCTCTGCGGCCGATATGCGCCCACCACCGTGGCCCTGCAGGCGTCTCACTCGCGTCTCGCGCCGCCGTGGCGGCCTCCCGCTCAGCAGCGTCGATCGTCGCACCAGTAGCCACACAACCCGCCCGCTTAGGCTCACGCTCACGCGCCGATCCTCCCAGCCGCTTCGCCCGCGCCGCCGACTACGCGCACTCGCCGGACGACGCCAAGACCCCGACGGACAGGGACGTGGAGTCGGACGAAGCCGTGTCGGCCCTATACAAGCGCTGGCGCAGGGCTTTCAACAAGGAGCGTGACCACGCCGACCACGCCGAGATGGCTTCAGACCACTCCTACCTTTGCAGGCCCTTGGGCAGGTGCTGTTCCTGTGAGGACGCGGGCGTTGGTAAGCTCTCTCTCACACACGCGCACACACACAGTCTCTGCCTAGCTTTTGGTTATTTGCCTATTTCTTCTCTCTTACTATGCACAGCATGTGTTTGATAAAATGCCTGTAAAGAGATTATGGAGCCAGCTACATCTATGATTATTTGAGAATAAATCCTAGACTATCACAACAGAACATTTTAATTTCTATCTCTTTACAGTTACAGTGCTCACCATAATTTTCTCGATCCCTATTCCTCTTGGGTTGGCTATTTATTTTCTTAAAAAAAAAGGTACTGCTGAAATCCATACAAGCAGATACTCCAATTTAGCACTGCTTATGTGTAGCAAAGATTTGGCTAATCTGTGCAGATGTATATCCTGAGGAGCAAAGTTCATTTGGTGCTAGATGTTATCCTGAATCATGCTAAAGGTACCTGAGTTATCATGTCCAACTCAGCTCTAATAACTATCAAAGCAGAGAAAAATGGGTCATATCAGTGAAAAAAAAACATGTTTTACTTGAGCAATTTAATACAACCATGTTTGGCTCTGCTGAAAGCTTTGAATTTAAACTCAAACAGTATGTAATATTTGCCTTATATACTATTTCAGACATTCTCTTCCATTGCAACATCCTGACTCTGAACTATAAGGCAGGCAAGTCTACTATACCTCCATCTTTCTTCTGCGAAAAAAGTCTACTTAACCCCCACCTTTCATACTTGGTCTACTTCACCCCCAACTATGAAACCGTCTGTTTTACCCCCTGAACTTTCTAAAACCGTCTATTTTACCCCACAGGGCGGTTTTTTTAGGCGCGATTTTGCTTTCTGATAATAATGGTTTATCTTCTATAGCAAAACCATCACATCAGTAGCAAAACCGCCCACCAAAACCGCTCGGGGGGGTAATAAGACGGTTTTAGAAAGTTCAGGGGGTAAAATAGACGGTTTCATAGTTGGGGGTGAAGTAGACCAAGTATGAAAGATGGGGGGTTAAGTAGACTTTTTCCTTTCTTTTGCTATATTTGGTGCTGATTGCTAAAGCTCTCCACATAACTTTCTCAACTCATCGACTTCTCCTAATTTGGAGAGTGTTCGGCTGGACTGAATTTCGACTTGTTCGGCTTATTTTTTCGGCCGGAGCAGTGTTTTTCTCTCACAACATTCCAGCATAAAACAGTGTTTTCAGCCTGAACAGTAACAGCTACTATGTCTCTCCTTCTGTAAATGATTTGGCTAATCTGTGTAGTTAAATTTTTTACTTTGTTTTAAAAGCTTCAGAACTGCAGCCACTGCCCACTGCTATAGCCTATAGGCATGATCCTTTTGTTTTCTACAACTACAGCCACGCGAACAGTTCCAAAATTTCCTTCTCAGCTGTAGAAATAGAGCAACAGTAACAGAAGCTTTTTAAAATTGGTTCTCTATATAAGAAAAAAAAGTGCACCAAGACCTACCAAAATTTAACCAATTGGAACTCATTTCATATTTAATTGAAACCTTCCAATATGCTAAACTAACAATTGAAAAAAAAAACAAGTAAAAATAAAAATAGTATCTCGGGAAAAATCAGAACGTGCCCTTTTGGGTATGTATTGTGATTTTTCCCGTTTTACACAATTTCTAAACAAAAGACAGAATTGGAAGAGAAGAATTCTGTAGCCACAGTTAGGCAAATCATACTTTTTTTAGAATGATCTCTTTAATCAGGTTGTACACGTACACGTACACGTCAGTACGTATGGAATCCGTTCTATTACTACATGGCAAAGACAACATATAGTCTCCAAATGGACTCACACAACAGTATGCAGTCTGGCCCAGACACAGGCAGGGCGCGGCAACGCCGCGCATGATTTCTAGTAACTAGGGAATTCGACGGTGAGGTTCCTTCCACCACACCTCCAATCCGACGGCGGAAACGCCATCCGCACGTCCGGCGCGGTCCGTCGGTCGCCCCCAGGCCCACACTTGAACCATTGAAATTTCAGCCCCCAGACAGTTCAATCAGACAATCACGCTAATTAATTACATTCGCCGAAAATAATTAATAAATTAGTTAAAAAAACCACCGCCTCGACCTGGTTGCCTCCGACGCCCCCATCGCCGTCGTCTCCTCCGCCTCCTGTCTGTCCGCTCCCCACCTCCCCTAAAACCCCCCGGCCATTGCCGCGCCAAGCTCCCCCCGTCCTCGAATGCCACAGACCCGGACACGACGACGCCCACCCCCGTGCTCACATGGCTAGCGGCGTCCTCCACCGCTCCGCCTCCCTATGTCTCCGCCCCGCCGCCGAGCCAGCCGCCGCCGGCTCCGGCCAGGGCCACGGCGCGGTGATGGTGAGCTGCTCCCCGCTCGCCTTCCCCCATTTCTTGGGGTTTCCGATTCGCTGGGATTCCTCTTTGTTGATCTCTGGGTTTTCTGGGGTGCCCGCAGATCGGTGATTCGAGGACGCAGCGCGGTGCTGCTCTGCGGCTGGGAGGATCTAGCCGGTGAGTCGAGTCGATCCCGCCTATAATTTCTGCAGCTTTCAAGTTTGGATGAGCGATCAGGTCACGCAACCTGTTTGTCTTCATGCTTCCATTTGGCGCAACCTTCCCTGAATCCTTATCTAAACTGTTATCTGAACTTTTTGGGTGGAACTCCAGTTGCCTGTAGCTTGGTCGGTTTGCTTGATGTATGTTTCTAACTTTCTATGGGCTAAGCTAGCCTCCTCGGTGGCTGTAGTCTGTAGCTTAGCTTGGTGATTTCTGCTGCGCAAGAAATGAGATCCGAATTGGGAAATTGTATTTCTTGGGGGCGTTTAGCTTAGCCAACTATTTGGTTCTGCAATTTAGATCAACGTTCCACTTTCTTACGATTTGGATTTGGGTTTGAATTTGCAGTAGCCTGTAGTACACTGTTGTCGGATGGAAACGCTAATGGTAGATGGGATATATTTGTTTTCCCCTGTGTGGATTGACATATTGTAAGTGCTCATTAAGTTGGTGCTTGGTACAGATGGACTTGATTTTTTTTTTTGTTAATGTACTCACGATCGGTTCCAATTTAAGCCTATCTTAAAACATCTCTTTCACATAACTATATATTTAGTATTATCAGCTAGTTAGTGGTTTTCTGCTGGTGTCCTTAGATAGTTGGTGAATGGTGAATTAGAACAACAGTGCGATGACATTCTCCAAGTAGAAATGCCAACATGTTTTTGGGGTTTCAAGTGCCCGTTAAGTTGGTGCTTGGTACAGATGGACTTGATTTTTTTCATTGTTAATGTACTCACGATCAGTTCCAATTTAAGCCTATCCTAAAACATCTCTTTCACATAACTATATATTTAGTATTATCAGCTAGTTAGTGGTTTTCTGCTGGTGCCCTTAGATAGTTGGTGAATGGTGAATTAGAACAACAGTGCGATGACATTCTCCAAGCAGAAATGCTAACATGTTTTTGGGGTTTCACATCCAATTTACACCAACTGTCTGTAGACCATTAATTACCTTTTGTCAAAGTCATAGTTGTATAGTGTTGTGATCTCCAGATATTAGATAAACTTACATGGATTTTGCCAGTCAGGATTTTCCATTTTCTTGTATGCTGAATAAACTTACTACCAGAAAAACATCGGTGTGATCCTCCAGAGATCACCATGGCCTCCAGTCCGGTCAGTTCTTAATATATTTGGGCAGAAAATTATTTAATAAGATTTTCTTCTACAGGAGAGAGTTATTATCTGTCACAATGGTCGCCAGAGATCACACTGTCTTGACCCGACAACTTCTGGATTTTCAACATGATACAATGGATGAGGCAGGTGCAGAACACGATCCATTCGTGGATTTGAAAGCGAGATTCATGGACCTCAAACACAGAAACTATGTGTAAGTGGATCATGAAGTACAAAACATATCATTCACATTAATATTTCACAATTTTTTTTTTGGTTTGTTGACATTGCTATACCTGGAACTGCGGACAGGGAAATTTTTTCAAATTACCAAAGTCTTGCTCAGCAGCAAACACCAAAGGTACATGATAATGACTTTGATAGCAAAACATTTTAATATTGGCATTACGAGCCTTATGGGATTACTTTTGGTTTTCTGTTCTTGTGTGCAGTTCATGGTGATTGCTTGTGCTGACTCCAGGTTTGCCCTACCGCTGTTTTGGGGTTTCAGCCTGGGGAAGCATTTACAGTTCGTAATGTGGCAAATTTGGTACCACCATATGAGGTATTATAAATTTTGCGCATCTTTAGGTTGTGATTGAACACTTAAAGCAATGCAATTCCTTTGTGGAAGTACTGACAGTAAACAAAATGTTGCAATACCAGCATGGGGGGTCAGAGACTAGTGCAGCACTGGAGTTTGCTGTCAATACACTCCAGGTATGAGTTTATTGTTTGTGTTTTCACTAATGATTTGTCTGTTTTCTTCTATTTCTCCCTTCTTGCTGAAGGAACATAAAAGCATTCTTGAGACTGACACATTTACCTTCATTTGCTCAGGTAGAAAATGTACTGGTGGTAGGCCACAGTAGGTGTGGGGGCATCCAGGCACTAATGAGCATGAAAGATGATTCGACCTCTGGGTAAAAGTTATAGCCATTTCTTCATTACATGTTCTTTTGGTGTGTGTTTAGACTAGTCTCTGAATTTCTTCTTTTATTTATTTTATTGACACAGAAGCTTCATTAAAAACTGGGTTTCAATTGGGAAGAGCGCAAGGTAAAGCACGAAAGCTGCAGCTGGAAATTTGAGTTTGACATACAGTGCAAACATTGTGAAAAGGTGATTCTTGGGTGATGTGTGATCATGAGCCTTAATTTTTTTTTTTACAAAATATTGCCCAGTGTAGTGCACAGGATCAGTCAATTACATGGCTGTTACTAATTCCGATTCATCTCAAGATTTTGGCTGCTGTACCTATTGTTCTTCCCTGTTCGTTGTTTGTATCAACACTAGGATTAGATTTGGATGTCTCATAATAGTTATACAATTCAAATTTATCTTGACAAATATGTTGGTTTTCTTTTGTTCAAGGTTTAGTCATAGTATGATATTACTAAGCACAACCACTCACGTTGTCTGACATGTATTTATTTCTTCTTTTTTGTTACAGGAATCAATAAATAGCTCTCTGTTGAACTTGTTAACCTACCCATGGATAGAGAAGAGGGTGAGTGAAGGTACTTTGAATCTTCATGGAGGCTACTACAACTTTGTTGATTGCACATTTGAGAAATGGACATTATTGTACCGTGAAGGGTTGGAAGGTGGAAGCAAGTATGCTATAAAGAATAGGTCCACCTGGTCTTGACCAATGAAGGCCTTGTTTACTTGGGTAAATTTCACTCTGTCCCCTGCAGTTCATCATGGTTTTGCTTTGCCACTACGTTGTTCATTTCCATTGCACCTTGCTCCATTGTGGTTTGATGTTGTACAGAAGATAGCCCCTGTATCAAATAACTGTTGCAAGGCTGTTGGCATCGTCGATTGCCATGCATGGCACAATGCTACTAGCATGTCAGCTTGAACTGTGTGTTGTCGTATTGCATACACATGGGCAGGTGCATTGGCATTGTGGCACTTATTTGATACAGGAATTCTCTACTGTAGAAGGACAAAACCACAATGGAGTGAGGTGCAACGCAATGAACAATATGCGCCCTGTTCGTTTGGGCTGGTTTGGCTTATAAGCCATGGCTGAAAGTATTGGCTAGTTTGATGTGAGAGAAAAATACTGTTCGTTGGCTGATAAGTCCGCTTATAAGCCAAATACGACCAAGCGAACAGGCTAACGGTAGCAGAGTGAGTCTGTGGAACTGCCGGGGGCAAAGTGAATTTTATCCAACTATTTGTGTGTTGTTTTCCGGTTGAAACCAATGAGAACATACGAATAAACTGCAGGATCAGTCATAGTGCATGTAATCGTCGCCACATTTGGCGTTACCTTGTTATTGTAACATGTGTACCATTTGTTGTAACATTGTAACTGGGAGATACAAATATTATACGGCCTCGTCAAATTTGCTTGATGACAGAGTGTTGGAAAGAGTCGGCAATGGAAACTCTGATATTCTACATGTTCCAACTAAAAAGGTACGAGTAGCACCGTAGCAGACATGCCACACAGTCCTTCCCTTTCCCTTCTGTCTCCCATCAGTCACACTCACTTGTACAGTGCCACTGTCCTACTAAACCCTGGCGAGGTTTGCCGAGAAGCGCTGCCTCTTGTAGCACTCGGCGCCGAGCATCTCCTCTCGGCTGAGCAGCACGCCCCGGAGCGCCGCCTGCAGCGCGGGGCGTGACGACGTCCATTTGCCCTCGCCGTCGTGGTGCCCGGCAACGTCCAGCTCCAGGACGCTCCGCGTCCTCCCGCCGACGGTGGCTATCTCCGCGCGCACGGCCCTCGCGCTGACGGACCGCACGGCGCGGCCCAGCTCGGACATGAGCCCTGGGCGGTCGGCGCAGCACACCCACGCCCTGACGCGCCTGGTGTTGGCGCTGGCGGCGGCCCTCTCCCTCTCCTTCTCGCCGCCGTGGCAGAAGCAGTGCTGACCCTCCTCGACGCCGACCTCGTCGCCTTCCCCCGGGACGGCCACGGCCGCGCCCGCCGCCGCAGCGTCCGCCTCGCCCCGCAACTCCCGCACGTGCCGCACTACCTCCCCGAGCAGCGCCGCCTTGTCCATCTGCATGCATGATCCGTGCACACGTACGTCACCGTGTTCGCTGCCCGCGGCGCATGCGTTGGATTGGATGAACTGACACGGTTAGCTCTGAAGAGCAAGGACGACGTCGGTCTTACCCGCGACGCCGCAGGGAGAAGGGTGCGGAGCGTGGCGAGGTGAGCGTTGATGCGCTGCCGCCGCTTCCGCTCCGCCTCGCTGTGGCTCCTGCTCGTCCCGCTCCGCGTCGTCGTCGCTGCCGGCGGTGAGCAGTCCCCGTCCATCGCCACCTCCGCTGCTTCGTCACTCCCGACAGGCACCATCGTGTTGCTTGAGCCTAAGCTGGTTTACTCCTTTTCTTTTGAAAGGAAAAGAGGCGGGAAGCCGTTGGCTCGGGTACGTGCGAACACGGCCGGCAACAAGCTAGCTCTAGCTCACACGTCAGGCTCTCGTTTCCGGGTGCCGGACTGCCGATCGATCGATCGATGGAGCTCTTAAATAAGGGAGGCCCGCGGCGCGGCTGCCGACACGGCTTGGCGTTGGCTGCGACTGCGAGCCGCGGCGCAGGCGCCGGCACACGGCAGCGGCAGCGGCTGTGTTGGCGCATCGGTCTGCGGCGCGGTCGGGTCGGGAGGAGAAAAGGTGCATGCGGTCTTGCGTCGGTTTGACGACTTTTCTCGCGGGGCGAAAGGCGATCGGCCGGCAGCGGCGACTGCAGCGGCTTCACGTCTATCGCCGGGGCGAGTAAACGACTAAACTCCCGTGTGTGGGGGGTGATCACCAGCCCGAGTTTCCGCCGTGATAGCTGCTTCGTCTCACGGACCTCTGAGGGCTCGTTCGTTTGGGGCAGTTTGACACCAGGATTCATTCCTGCTGATGTTCCGGCCGGGAATCGTTCCTGACGGTGATTCAGGGGGAAACGAACATTCCCTGAATCTGAAGCGTGGTTTGCCGGCAGTGAAAAAAAGCGTCGGCCGACACGGCGCTGCGCCGCGACAGTTGCTTCTTTTGTTTTTAACTGATCGTGTTAAACCATCTGATACGAATGCCGGTTCTCGGTTCTCGCCTTCTCGGAGCATACCAGTGTACTTACCCTTGCTGCACGATCGGTCCTATGCAAGTGGCATTTTCTGCACGATGTATCTTTGTGATTTGCCGTCTGTCCATCCATTCGTACGGCACAGGGCACTTAGCATTTGCCACCGCGTCAAGAATTTCTCGAGCTAAAGGGGAGAACTTACGGCTACGAGTTCATTTGTTTCGGCTGTCCGGCTGTCCCATATGAGCCCTGTTCTGGCCTGGCTTGCGTGCGTTCTGAAGGCGAAGCACTGGTGCACGAAAACGGGCCCCGTCCAAGAGCACTGCTTGCGCGTAAATCCCCAACAGTGGTCAAAACTCCTCGAGCTTTTGCTGTTGCTTCCCATGATCCAGTAAAATGTCGAGGCCCAGCTTTTTCACCCCGGCCGGCAAAACGATGAACAAAAGCGGTGTGGACGACAAGAGATGACCACTCGCTTTCACCGTGTCCTCCATGGCCCCGACGACGCACTGTAACAACGAGCGTCCCCGCTTTAGGTTTACAGAAAGCGAGCGGCCGAAGAAAAGTTGCTAGTGCACCACGCCGTCGCCGGCGCAACCACATCATGATGTGTGCACAGTGTGGCCTCACTCACGTCTCCGGCGGTCTTGCCGGGGTCCGGGCCGGGCATCGTCGGGCGGCATCATGTGCGCATCTCGAGACTGACCCGGGCAGCCAGCAGGAAGCTGACATCGTGCACGTACGTGAGGGGGACACGGACGCCTGGCCTTCAATCCCTTTTGCTCCGTCTTGGGCTGGCACGACGCAGTGTAGCCAACAGGGGGTGTGCAGCGATGCAATCCTGCTGCCGTCAATGGCGTGCAGTGCAGGGGTCCTCTCCGGAGGAGGCATCGCGTCATTGCTTGCCGACAGGCCGGGGCGGTCGCGAGTACGGAGTACGAGTACGTCGTCGTTGGTTGCAGGCATCGATCGCGTCCGTCGGTCGTCGGAGAACACAGCCTCTGGCGACGCTGGGTCCGCGAGGACGATCAGCGAGTCGTCGTCCCACGTCGTTGGGGGTCCCGGCCGATTGATCCTCGGACATGAACCGCTGCTGGTGGTGGGAGGTTTTGAGCATGTCGCAGCACGGCAGAAGTTTTACAAGTGCCTGATTCTGAGCAATTTTGGCTTCTCAAGTGTACTGCGAATTGACCCGCCGAATCGGCATGAAGTTATCGCTGTAACGGTATACGGAGGACCTGAAAGACCACCAGTTAAGCTCATGGATTTGGATTAAAACATTATTAAGAGGGTCAATGGACAAATGCCCAGGAAAATGCATGTGTGATGCTACTGCAATAATAAAACATTCAAGCCCCCTTTGGAACATAGGATATAGGATTTATGAAGCAATTCTATAGGATTATAAACCTATAGCGATTTTTCCTACGCGGTCCTTTAGAAAAAGGATTGGTCATCCTGAAATCCTAGAAAATTCCTATAGAATGGCTCAATACATAGGAATATCAGAGAAAATCTAACATGAGGCCCAACCTCTAGAGGCCCTAAGCTATTTCACATCTAATACAACCTCACCACATGTTCCTCAGTTCATTTCCTATAATTCCGACGAGCCATACACCCCTTTTGAACAATTCATGCCAACCAATTCTATGGTTCGCTTTATTATTATTCCTTAAATAAGCAGAAATATCATAAACCACACTGAAACACGGAAGAGAGCACTGTTGACAACACACTTGTTACAGTAGAATCAGTGAATTCAAGCAGGTATAAAACTGCAATGACCTGACTCTGTTTCTGCACCGCTTCAATACAATCACTATAGCCACTATCAAAGGGGAAATACAAGCACTATAGCATCTGAGTAGCTATGGGCATTCGTCAGCTAGAACTTACCCTCGCTCATTGTTCTTCATCTTCCATAGCACAGGGGCACTTGTAGATCTGTAACTCCGATCCCCACTAACTCGCCATCGACTGACTATTTAAGATACAGCACCTGCTGAGCATGCAGGTACAGTATTTCCTTCATTCTTTGGACCAAAAGTTGGGCAACATTTTTTATCCACAAAAACCCAGTAATCGACATCATTACTTCACTCAAAGTAATTGCAGGCAGATCATGTCACTCACAATCTGAATACTACACAGGCCTCCAGCCTCCACATATCATGTCACTCACATATCTCTAAATAATTTGTATTCCCTAGTTGATACATAAGAACTCAGAATATAAATGAAAAGTGACTCTTATATTCAAACAAAATGGAAAGGCCAACCTTGCACAAACAATTTAACAGAGAAACTAAATATTAAAGAAGAAAGCATGAATAATCAGCAGACATACTTTATTCAGAACAGCCTATCAACAAAGCAAAAAGAAAGGGAAAAAAGGTTCAATGGAGAAGATACAACCATGATAAGAGCGTGCACATTTAGTCTTTTATAACAGTTCGCTAGGATTTTCTTGAACAAGTAAACTAATAAACAGGAGCAGAACAAGTATCGCAATGAGTGAAATTAATAACTGCAAAACTTAAAAAAGGAAAAATAGATTTTGATCAAACGACATTGCGATAAGGACAGCCAAAGTGCAAAATTTTGGTACTGAAAAGTTTCATAAGCAGAATTCGCATTAAAAATAGAGCTTTAAATCATTCCATTTATTGCAGCATTCCTACACAGAGCAGATCTTACAGTAGCACCAAACTCAAATGTACAATAAACAGTATCTAGACACCTTATCATTTTAGATCAATACAACTGTCTTCAGGGCAGCAGTGAAATTAGACAAATATGCAAATACAATAGCTACAGCTAAAGCATAATGGCAAGTAAGGCGGTGGGGACAAACCAGAAAAAGGGCGTACCCAGTGCAGAGAGCTCCCGCTGTGTGCGGGTCTGGGGAAGGGTGTTAGTGGCAGATTAACATTATAATCTGGAAACGAAAGAATTCTTCCATCGAAAAAGAAGTCTTTCAACAATAAAATTGCTTGCTCCGCATTAGAGATCCTGGCAACAGCAAGTGAGAATTCAACCTGCAGACGAGTGCTTCAGTTGACTACAATGGCAGTGTGATTGAATGCATATCTCAGTTAATCCATCTGATCTATGATGATAACCATCATGTTCATCATTAGCATTCATAATTTCTTCTTGTTCTTGCTACCCTTCGGGCGACCACGCTTCTTCGCACCCACCTTCACTCGCATCGGCTTCGCTGGCGGTGTCACTGCCGGCACCTCTACAGGAACCTCGACTGGTACCTCTACTACTGGGGCACTAACTGGTGGCACCCCATTCTGAGCATTACCTTTCACACCACCTGTGCTTCCAAGCCATGGCGCATTCAGCTGATCTAGTCCCGATGGCTGTGCATTGACCATTCTTTCAAAGCCAGGACACCCAGGGAACCCAAAGGGGAAGAAGCCCCAAGTGCAGTAATACATGTCGGTGCCCGGCACAATAGGCGGTGGCTCAGCCATTGCCTTGGCCACAAATGGCTGACGGCAGCTAGGGCACAGCAACTTGCGCGTCTCATATTGGCAGTCGAACTGGTGAATGTGGCAGCAGGCCGAGCACACTGTCCAGAACGTTGATGAAGGTGCCGCACCAGACTTCACTGCTGGGACAGTTGCAGCCACCGGCGTTTGGGGAGTACTCGGCTGCAGTGTACTTGACCGTGTTTGGGGAACAACAGGTGGTGGTGGAGTAGGCCGTGGAGCGGGAGCAGCTGGCGGCGGTGTTGACCGTGTTTGAGGAGCAACCGGTGGTGGTGGAGTAGACCGTGGAGCAGAAGCAGCCGGCAGCGGTGCTGGCCGTGTTTGGGGGGCAACCGGCCGCTGAGTTTGCCGTGCAGGGGAAGCAACCGGCGGTGATGTTGCCCGCGGAGAGGGAGAAACCAGCGGCGGAGTCGACCGCGGGGAGGGAGCAGCAGGCAGTGGAGTTTGGCGTGGAGAGGGAGCAGCCACCGGCGGAGTTAGCCGTGCAGGCAGAGGTGACTGCGAGTGCAGCTGCGGTAGATTTGGAGGAGATTGGTACGCGCGAGCTGCGGCGGCGGCATCGAGGTCCGCGTCGAGGGCCGATTTATGAACGGGATCAGAGAGGAAAGCCCAGGCATCAGCGACGAGGCGTGCGGCTTCGGCGAAGGCGAACGAGGAGGGGCGGTCGGGGTGGGAGCGATTGAGGAGGAAAGAGAGGCGGCGGTATTGTGAGTGGATGGCATCCGGTCGGCGTGATGCGGGGTTTGCGGGATCCAGACCAAGGACGCCGTAGGGATCAGGCTGACCGTTGGGGAGGCGGCGCCGCTGGGCTGCCAGGAGGGAGCCGGCGGCGGCGTGGAGGTTGTCGGCGCCCGGGGTGTGGGGATCGGCGGCCAGGGCCTGCGAGGCGAACTGCTTGCACCCTTCAAGGTCGCGCGCCACCAGGAGCTTCTCAGCCACGTTCAACCACTGCTCCGCCTTCCGCCGCGAGGCGCCGGCGCCGGCGGCGGACGGATCCATCGGGTGGGTAGAAGATGGTGGACTGGGGTTTCTGGGGGTACTCGTAGATCGGTGGAAACAACTGAGTGGACGTAGCAATGCTCCCAAAGTTTACAGCCACCGAACCCCGGGTAATTCAAGAAATGTTTAAAACTAGCAAATTTATATGGTATTTATTTATTGATGCACGTCGTTAGCTCTAAAATTTGTTCGGTATCATTTTAAAATATCCTTTTACCACTTAACATCGTAGCTATTAAATTATTTATTTCTGCCGTCAGTGAAAGGCTAGTGAAAAATTATGTTCATGTGCTTGTCTTATTCTCTTCATGACTCCACCCTTCTCTCTCTTTGGCTGCGCGCCACCACCGCCATGGCTCCTCACTGCGTGCTACCACTCTTGTTCCCTCCCTCCCTCCCTCGCCACTCTGCGCCGCCCCTCCCTCCCTCTCGGCTCCCCACTATGCATTATTGCTCTCTATCTCAGTCTCGCTCCCGTCACCCGTTTTGGTTTGCCCCTCCGTGCCACCGCCCCCGCTTTCCCCCTTTGCCACCATTGGGAGGGATGCGGGCGCTGGCAGTGATGCTGGAAACTCCTGTGACTCTACATCCTCGCCGATGTCGCTATCATTGCTTTGATATTTTTTTGGTGGGGTGGGGGAGGAGAAAGAACAGAGGTGCCTCTAACACTACATCCTCTTCGGTGCCACTATCATGTGTTTGTGCCTCCCTTGCATGATGGTTGACTATAGCCCGACCAAGCATCTACTCGCTTGTAGCTGCAACGGTTGTCAGGTGGTGGGTAGTGGCGATGCGTGAGATTAAGCCTGGCCAGCAGCCGTGTGTGGGTAGCGCTCACGGTGCCGTGAGATTCCTCGCCGATCAGGGAGAGCATAACATAAATGAGACCAAGGGTAAAACTGTTCACCGGAGGCATGGTCCGCGGCAGGCACATCCCTTCCAGCTAAGTGACGGCATGGAAGAACGTGCCATATACTCAGCCTCCGCCCTAAGCATTTATCCAGGATGTATCATTTTTACTATGTATCTAAATATATTGTATATCTATGAAGAGAGTAATAATCTGCTAGTATAGTATAGACAAAATACCTTCCGAGTTAATTCACTCTTGCTTTTATCTTCTTGGGCCTGACCCGTTCTGAGCTCTAAGCCCCTTGAGCATCCATGATCCATCTCGTTTGTAAGTTCACCCCTTTTTTCGAAAAAAAAAAGAAAAGGGAGCGAAGGTCTAATGAAAATGTATAGCAGAAAAGAAAAATTTAAGAGAATCAAAGCATTAATTCAGAGACAAATTATTCATATGGACCCGGACAGATCATTGTGGCCCAGCATGGGACTCTATACACCCTATGTATAGTTGCCCATCTTGATCGAAAGACGAAGCAGCCCCACTGAATACGAATCAACTTAATTTTCCAGGACCAGATCCTGCCCAAGGGGCGTGCATCGGCCATGCTGTGTTGATGCAGCAGCTGATCGACAGCTCTTCCATCACTGCTCATATGAATTCTGCCATCTTCTAGGATGATAGGTACCATTTTCTTCCAAAAGAAAATCCAAATATAGAACTATATATAAAATAAAAGGATGATGGCTACCTGCTGAACAAGAACGTCAGACATCATCACGCACTCCCTAGCAGTGGACATACAGTAGATCGCGAAAGTACGTTTGATCGTTTCCCAGTGAAGTCTTCACAAGTGTCGGAGATTTTTGCATTGCAGTTTTTAAGCAGATCTCTCTCTCTCAATCGTGACCAGAATTTAATTTTTCTCCTAGTGACGTGGGGTTCTCCTAATGTTTTAACATTCAAAATTTAGTATAAACTTTCCTTACTAAATGTCTCCTAATGAGATTTACATGTGCTATGATTAATGATAGTGTTTTAATACTACTTAAAACACTAGGAGAACTTCACAATTTTGGTAGCACGTCTCTGATTCTCGATGGACCGACCATTTTAAGCAAGAGTTCATGGAGAACAAGCTTTACTCTTTATCCAGTGGTCAAAGAAAAGTAAGGACGATAATACAGATTAATTGGGAGATTGTACTCCAACTCCAAGTAGACCTATCTGTTTCAGATTCAGAAGTTTTTTCACACGACAGCACTGTTCCGATGAGTGTCTTTTCAGCTAAGTGAACAGTGCACCCCACCCAATTTGTTTTATTTCCTCTGATGAGATGAGACCCTTCATTTTTGTAAACGTGCAGTACCTGAAGCTGCTCTGGAAACTGTAAACCGTTCATGCATGCATGGTATACTTGCCTACTTGGGGAAGCTGTTGGCAATTCTTGGTATTCACATAATCAATTCTGACTATTAACGTTCTGATTTTTTCTGAAGAGGAAGGAGAATTGTATTAAAATTGGGCACAGTATATCCCCCATGTTATATTAATTAAAAAATCTGAAATAAAAATAATACTCTATTCAGATTCTTTCATCATCATCTTCCCTAGGAGCTTTTCTCGATGCAAAATAGAGCGTTATAGAACATCGAGGCCAAAGTAGGTTTATCACCTCTCACCCTTAGTTCGTCATGTATGGTTGATTTCTTCTCCATCGACCATTGACAATGAGATTGATTCCCTTGAGAGGAATAAAAAAGGCGAAAAAAAAAAAAGATACCCGAAGTTACTGTCCTTTGGGGGAGTGCCGAGAAGCACCCCTTGTATTACAGATAATGACCACAAATTGGCCTCTACCAATGAAATTGACACCTACAACAGTGATCTCGTTCTGACAATCACCGAAGTCATCATCCGGATCGAAAATCATCAGTATATTTGGGCTAAACCTTAAGCAAACTAGATTTGAAATCATAAGATTTTTAAGCCCTTAATTTTCATCTATTTTTTATATCCAAAGAGAGCTAGCAAATACTAGATTTGAAATCATAAGATTTTTAGGGCCCTTAATTTTCATCTATTTTTTATATCCAAAGAGAGCTAGCAAATAGTGCTTCGAAGCATTGGGCGACATGCCCTTTTTGATCTGAGTTAGACTGTCTCCAACAGAGCATGCAAACCGTGACCCAAACGCAAAATAGGTCATTCACAATGCAACGCTCAACGGGAAGACCCAAACACCTCACCCATTTTGCATACGAGGCTTGTTGAACGCAAATTTTGATCTTAGTGCCGTTGTGCCAGTATGCAACCACCGGTCGCAAGTTAGAAGTTATGCAATTTTCTAGATTTGTGCCATTTGTGGAATTCAAGTCCACAACCTTTATGCTCATGTGACACCATGCACATTTACTGTTGATAGTAGTAGCGTAACCTTTGCTTTTGAACATTATTCCGATGGGCTGTTTGGATCCTCTCATTTGGAAGAGTTAAAATCTTTTGGGTAGGCTATTGGAGAATGCAGAGTTTGGGTGCGTGATTCTTTTGCTATGCGTGACCAAAACTATTGGGTCTCCGATTTAGGTTTGAGATAGCCTTAATTTGACATTCCACCACTTTCCAAATTCAAGTCCCCTTTGTTCATGTGACACCATGCAAGTCTTGATGTCAAATTCATAGGGTGAGAGATAGAAATTGATTCTATAGACCACCATTCTATGTTTTTACTTTGCTACTTGTAACACGATCTTCAACTCATTCCCCTATGGTAGACATGCAACATATAAGTATCTCTCTCATATAGCCAACAATAATATACAAATATAATTCATATACAACAATATTAGCATAATTAATATATGTCTAAATTATTATTATTAAAGCGAATTCAATTTCAAGGATCCAAATGGGGTCTGAAAGTAATTCTCAGAAATGGTCCACGTAAGCTATGACCTCTAGAAATGAATTTCACACATAATGATAATGTATGGTCTATTGTTTTTCAAATGAATTTCACACATAGTTGTGTGCATCTATAAATTTAATTATCGCGGTGTTACACCCTAAATCATTTACTAAAACATGTCATGGGTATCATATTTATGTGTTAATGTATGTGATAAAATGTATACATAAATTTCTTGTAACTGAAAATGATCAATAAAAATGTTAAATGAAAGTTGATTCAATAGCTCATGTATATTAAGTAGGGGTTGAAAACTAATTTTTATTAAGCAAAAATACTATAGAACATGTGTGTGATACTTTAATAAACTTTGAAGTACAAACTTTGTAGATGACAGTGAAATACTTGCCGTTGAAAAATCATATTACTGGCTAATATTTCTACTAGCCTAGAAATTACAAATTTAAATCAAGTTCAGCTAAAAAACTTAGAAAATTTCCAAGTCTGTCAACAGGTAGACATTGCTATGTTTAGCAAATTATTTTAAGAGATTGGGTTAAGGGTGGTGTAGTGTTATGGCTCGATTTGATAGTCTCATATGCCATCTTGAACATGGTAAAGATAGTTTGGCTCCTGAAGCAACAGTTTAGTTGTTTTGGAAGCTTTAAAATTTGTGCACGACTCGGTCTCGGGTTGGTTGGCCGCGTGGGCGCGATCACCACGCTCGGGAGCTTGGCGTCGCCGCGTTGGTCGCGCAGCGTCTACGTCATCGCCATCCTGCGATGGCGGGTATGGTGGCTCTTGCTTCTTGCTTTTTGCTTGGCCCGGCATGGCCCATCACAGCAGAAGCCGCTGCCGCCTGCCGCCTCGCCACCATAACGAAGCCATTGCTGGCGCTATCACCTCGCCGCCGTCGTCCGCAAGACTACTTCGCTCGCCCGCTTACCACCCGCCTCGCACCACGCGACGCTTGCCGGTATTGCACATCGTCGTGTCCGCCCGTCCGCTATACCCTCTCGCCGCTTCCGCCAGCCAAAGTGCGATGCCGCCTCTGCTTGCGCGCGCGCGGGTTGAGCTCGCCGTCACCTTGCCATTTATGGCGCTGCGCCGCGCGGGCCATGCTAGTCGGGGATGCGCGCGCTTGTTCGTAATGTCTACGCGCGTGCCTCCACGTTCACGCCGACCGCATCCTGCCAAGGCGAGGACTAGCCGAGCCCACCTGCCGTGCCCCGTCTCCCTCTCTTT